CATGCCTATTATTAACATATTGGCTGTGTATTAGTACTTATAAAGCACATATTGTGCATGACCTTATTCTACATCCCTAATCCGACCTTACTACCTTACTAACTATTAATAAGCAGCAAATTTGGAGTTAATTGAGGTGAAAGTCGTAGTTAATGGTTTGTTAATAGCACGAATTGGACCTTAAAATAAAGTGTAACCTACATTATTACTAAAAAGTGATTTTATATATATATATATATATATAATATCTGCCATATTGAACATTATCATTTTCATTTGAGTGGTCTGTCTCCTGAAATCAAAGACATACAAAATATCTACTAAAGAAAACATCTGTCATGACTTTTTTTTTCATCCAGAACCCCATGTGGTGACACACGTTAAACTTTTCTAGCATAAAATCAGTAAAAAAAAATAAATAAATATATATATAAGGAACAAAATCACAAAGTGTCTTCATTTTTTTTGTCACAGATGCCATTTCTGAAAGATGGAGATTCATCTTGTATAAAATGCTGTGAGTGACAAAACTATTAAATCATGCCAATGTCATTAGTACAAAACTTTAAAAAAAAAAACTAAGCAAAACAGTTTAATGACCAATAATGCATGTGTACAGACAGTGGATTTTATCAATCTGAAAAGTTAATTATGTACTAATGCCGTGTGAGTGGCTATCAGGTCGATGTGCCTGTGTAGGCAGTAAACAATGAGTTAGCTCCTTCATTTTGTAGTGGAGCCCATGTGCCACTGCGTGTTACTTTACTATTATACTGTGCCTGATTCCACACAGCAATCCTTTATAGGCCATGAGATCAGAGTGGTCTCTGCTCTACTTGGTGGGTCAGAAGGAGTCAGATTAAAAGATATGAGATAACACAGTGCTATTACGGATATGGGGCTGCATATAGGGATTTGCAACACACACGCATCTTAAGCTCTTCACTTACCAAGACATTAATGCTCGCTGTCCGCGAATAACACGCTACAAATCCTACGGGGGAGGAAAAACTCCCAGAGCACTCTAATCATGCACTGAGATGGCAAATGAGGGAGGTCAAAATGATATCTGTAATACTTTAAAAGCATACTGTGAGCTCCAGAGGGATTTTGCAGTGTGTTTATATATTCAGGATTGCAATGTGTTTTAAATAGTTTATTTTTGTTGTTGTTGAAATATCTGATTTATTAAGATTTTTGCACCCTTTTGATGGCCAGCATTATTGGAAGATGGACTTGTTTGGTATTAATTATTGCAAAGCTTTATGTCAGCACTTGAATTGTCATTTTATCACTGGAGATTCCTATGCTGACATTTGCTGTTTCAAACTTTGTCCGCACATATCTTTCACAATGGATGCTTAACGTTACACTTTTTTTTTCAAATGTGCTGTCTGCAACTTATATTCCAAAGTGACTTGTATAATGCAATTAACGGAATGTATGCAAAATATGCACAAAGCACACACATTTGGATTCGAGAGAGGCACTTGAGCCCAAGTTTATTTGTATAGCGCATTTCCCCCATGCCATTTCAATTTTTTTACTTTAGGCTTGTTTATTATAAATGTTGCTTATAATGAATGGCACTATAATTTATGTTTGTTTAATACTTATACTGTATATTTTTCGGAATAATCCCCTCCCCCACCTCCTCCCAGAAACCTCATGTCACATATAATCTTTTGTTAGTTGCATCTCCCATGTGTTTAATATGAGGAACACTATTTGTGTGATGCACTTGTTTATAGCAGAGACATTGCCTATGTACACTGTTAGACATTTCAAAGGGTTTTTACAGTAACTTAAGTTCCTGTAATTAAGATTTACAGTAGCAAACTGTATTTGGTTTACAGTTGCAAACTGTACTTTTTACAGTAAATTACTGTATTCATCAATTCCAATTCATCAGTATACTACTGTAATTAATTCATTTGAATATATTTCATTAGATTTGATAATTGTTTATATAGAATTCATTGTATTTTTACCTTACATAGGTACTACTGGCATTCAATTAAAACAGACACAATGATTACAAAATGTCAAATTCTTTATTTAAAACATTGCATGTATAACACTTATAAATACAGTCTTCCAATGCTGGAGCAGTGCATCTTCATTTCTCCTGTCTTAGGACATTTAGCAGTGCATTATGTTGTATCATCTGGATTTATCCTAACAAAGAATCTTTAGGCAACAGAAACATAATAAAAAAATAAGCAGCCAAAGAACACATAGCCATCTGCAAAACCCAGGTGCTGCTCCAAAACGTGGCCACCACCTTTGCTCACCATCCACTTTGTTAGTGACAGAAATGTCTTCTCTGAAAAACAAGTAGAAATGGCACACTTTTAAAAGGCAAACCCCATATAGAATACACACATCTCTCAAAACCATAGTTGTTCTCTTACCATAAATTATCATTCTCAGGGTGGCATGCTCATGTCTTTCTTGATGCTTCATTGCAGTTGCCTTTAAAACACAAATACAAAAAATGTATCTTAAATTCCATTAAAAACTGTAACAAACAAATTCTAAAACTAGAAAGGCAGCTAGCCATAAAACTTGTTTAACCTAACTAACATACGATTTTATTTTCTTAATAGGCTACTGGCCAACATTAACTATTAACACAAAATTTCACATTAGTTAACAATGTTAATACACAATAAGTTTGCTCGTTAAAAGTAATTTTAATTCGGTAATTCAATAAGCTGACAAAACTCGTTTGAAACGACAGCGCAGTTTACCATAGTAAAGTTTGTTACCGCTAAAGTTATGTTGACAGGTAAATGTTACTAGGTTAAACTGGTGTGCAAAAATGTTGACACAAACACACAGACAAACGTACATATAGTTTTTACCTTGCCTACTGGTCTTATTATTTCGTAAGGTGCATCGACACACAGCGCAGATGTTCTCTGGAACTCTTCCACTCTCGCGGGTTCATCCCCAGGTAAAACCAAGCGGCAACCTCCCGGTCTCTCGCTTGAAGCCAATACGGAAGTGACTAAAACTGCAATTCATCGACTGACTGCTACACTCTTAAAAATAAAGGTGCTTCAAAAGGTTCTTCAAGTGATGCCATAGAAGAACCATTTTTGGTTCCACAAAGAACCATTCAGTCAAAGGTTCTTTAAAGAACCATCTCTTTCTTGTGTTTTTGTAATCTGAAGAACCTTATTTCGCCACAAAGAACCTTTTGTGAAACAGAAGGGTTCTTCAGATGTTAAAGGTTCTTTATGGAACCATTTAGACAAAAAGGTTCTTCTATGGCATCGTGAAGCACCTTTATTTTTAAGAGTGTAGAGGCTGGCTCCAAAAGGGAGTCAGTCCCATAGACTCCCCATGTTAAAATGCCCAACTTTACAGCAGAAAAAAAAATGTTTACAGCCTGGTACAAAAAGTGCTTTTGGTCTATATAGGTAATTTTGCCCTTCATGACAACTGTGAGGGGGGTGAATTTTTTTTATAACTCATCCGTTTCAATTATATTAAGCCTTAAAGTTCTGCATAATTAAGGGCGTGGCCACTTGAGTGACAGGTGGACTGCCGCTATGCTCCAGTGTGTGAAACTCGCTAAACTGTGAAACTTAGAATAACGGCTTTAAAGATTTTTATTTGTCCAGAAAAAAGATGACGTTCATTGCAATGTTTTTTATCGAGTTACAAGAAAAGGTAGGAAACGGATTTAATTGCAAACAGTTGCTGATTTTATGTGATACGCTGTCATGGCATTGGACTCCTCACACGTGCAGAAGTGGGCAGCCCTAGACTGAGAGTTGGCATCTGCATTATAAAAAGAAAAAAAACTTTAAAGATTATTTATGATTAATTATTGTTGCCAAGTTATTTAGTCGTTGCTTGTTTACAGTGCTTTGTTATATGGAGCAGTTTGTTAGATCGCGATCTATCTAATTTGTTTGTCTAAAGAAGTGCCGACAGATGTATGAAAGTACACAAGTCACACCGTAATTTAAAAGCGCAGTCTTTAATGTACAGTAAAACAAAGGCAGAATACCGTATAACTCCAGGCTGGCACAGTAATATTGACGAACGGCTAAACAAATGCAGAGCACCGTAACTTAATTTGAGCAATCTAAAACAAAGTCAAAGAGCGGTAACTGATGATACTGTGTTCTGTCTTGGTTTCTCCTGGGCTTTTCTCCAAGATACTTATACACATGATAAAGGAGGTCATATATGTCCCAAAATTATCAAGAACTCATTTCGACCAAAAACTAAGATATGATTTTTTGTCTTTGCATGGCAGCACAGCTGTCACCATAGACGGGCATGGTTTCAGCAACTAGCGCCTAGGCTGAGTTGCCCATTTTTGCCCATTTTGCGATTATCTGGGAGTGACGCGCGGTGACGCGCTGCCAAGATGGCGGCGGTCGGCTCCGACCACTTTAGGCTTCAAAAATGCTCTTCTGAACCCTACGAGTGATGTCACAGACACTACATCCATGTTTTTTTACAGTCTATGGGCAAAACCTGCAGCTCCGTGTCTTCCTCGAACGCGAGTGGCGCGGCGCGGCGCAACTCAACAAAAGACAATATAGAACCCATTATACTATCTACAGTGGATGCGGACAGTAAAGTGATGCCCCGGTATATTTTTGACGTACAGATGTACTCCAAGCACTCTGTGCTGTTTCTGACATGAAGGTCAAACAGATTTTCCAATCATTACAAGCGATGTGACATCCAGTGTAGTCAGTCCCAAGCTGTTGCGGCGTTGTAGACACGGTGTAAGTCAAATCTTGTCAATCCAAATGTGAGAAATGAGAAAAATAAAGCAGCCTCAATAGAATGGCGCCAAAGAGGCCGCTACGTCAAATACAGTAGTATAGAGCAATTTTAACAAATAGAGGAAGTCACTGTATGTGGGGTTTGACGTCACAGAAAATTCCCATGATGCAAAGGGTATTACAGTTATTTACTGTAAAGCGAATGTGCAGTATTATACTGGGTGATATACTGTAAATAACTAGAAATCACAGAAATGTCTAACAGTGTAGAGTGTACCACGTCAGTCATTTATAAGGCTCTATTTCAACTACAGACATTTTTAGCACATTTTACATGGTTCACACAATCCGCATGTTCTCAGTTCATTTTCAATAGGAGACACGTGGCAGATCGCAGATCGGGGACAGCGCTGCACACCATGAAAGATAACCGTTACAGCTTGTTGCTCACGTGCGATGGCGAGATCACAAGAAAAGCTTGCAAACAATCACATAGTGTAAAATACCATTTAGGATGCTGCCTTTGTAGAAAATATGCAGCTCACTTGGCTTTGAAACCATTTTAGTGGTAATTGTGCATAAAGATGAGGAAGAATACATTTCTCTTTGTTTGAAACTTGCTTGAAATTCATGTGTTCATGAAAAACAGCTCTGGTACAGTACCAGTGGTACTTAATATGCAGTGTCATACCAAGTACCACAAGAATTAACAGAGGCTCTGAGACACACAAACACATGTATGTCTTGCTTAATTTAAAGGATTGAACTAACAGCACTGCGCTGATCCTAAACTGAGGTGCGTCATATTGATTAAGACAGTCAACTAGAAGATAATTATATTGAGTCCAGGTAGGCTACTGAGGCACTGCACATTCACCACCTCCTCTGAGACCATTAACAAAGCCATAATTAAGCATGACAGATTTAACCATGGGCAACCGTAGTTACTTTCATCCCTGGGTTATACATCACACTTGTGCAACAAATGACCAATGTAGAAAAACGCTCCTTAATAGGCTGTTATAGAAAGAGGGAATTGCAGTGAGTTTCAAAGGCGTCGTAATATAATGGACTACTGTTAGTGAATGCAAGTAGAGCATTTTCTTCAATCTTATAATGAAACAACGTAATTAAAAATAAAACAAGCTAAAAGATGTTTTACATTAACAAAACTCCTGTCCTGGCCATCATTTCCCTCTTTTGCATGTCATTTTTATATAAGTGATCAATTAAAAGGGTTAAGTTCTATAGCTTTGTTGTCAACGAAATTGTGTCTTCAGCACAAGTCATAGACTTCTTTCTCTGATTTGTTCATTTTCTATATGGTTATTTCCTTTTTAGAAACCCTTATTTGTGTGGTGGTAAACGTCACATACTGAATCGGTGCTCATATTTAACTCTTGTAGCTTCTACAATGATATTTAATTAGATTTAAACAGTATAACAGTAGTGAGTTATAGCGGCACCCATTGGTTGTTCAGGAAAACTGTGAATATTCTATTTTTGTGCTTTGAAATGACCTGTTTAGGATTGCTTAGCACTTCCTGTGTGGTTGCTGTGGCGCTGATGGCTCGGTTACTTCCTGTGTTGAGCTGCAGGTTGAGTGTGAGACCACTGACCAACTGCAGGCCCAGTTCAGTGATGGCCACTCGATCATCCACAACCCTCACCGTCTTCTCTGCCAGAATGGAGTCTGACAGCGGGGACAGAACCTAGAGCAGAGCATACACACAGAAGCACATTATTAAATACAAGCATCATAAGCAATCTGGGTTGTTGGAGACAGCGCTGCCCACAGGGATTACCTCCAATTACAGGGAGAAATATCAAGAACACAGAGCTGTAAACCCCGTCTAGTGATTGATGCAATAAAAAGGTGTTACAGACAGTCTCCTGCCTGCCCACACTTTCACTGCAGACGAGCACATATTAGGTATCTGGTCTCAAAGCAGACAGGAAAAACAAAATAAATCCAGATGACTAACACCTCCTCAGACACATGTACGCTGCAATATCAGCCCACTTTACTGAAGAAAAGTGAGCTGCGAAAAAGGTAACATCTTAGTACTAGCTGTGTTCAGCCTTGCAGAAAAAGTACGCTGGGAGTACCACGGTACAGCGATGGTACTTGATGTACAGAACAAGTCAATGACAAAGAAACTGAAAAAAAATCTAGTTTAAAATGTGACAAGCCCTTAGAAATAAACTCTTTGTATTCAAGTTGGTTTCATGAGGTTTTAAAAACCTACCATTTTCAAGAAACAAAATCATGTAGTTTTGAAAAAAAGGAAAAAAAAAATTCTATATGAAAAGCTTCAATTTAAAGGAATAGTTCACCCCAAATTTTTAATTTTTCTGACAATGTACTCACTCTCAGGTCATCTAAGATGTAGATGAGTTAGTTTTTTCATCAGAACAGATTTGGACAAATTTAGCATTTAGCAATTTGCTCACCAGTGGATCCTATGCAGTGAATGGGTGCTGTCAGAATGAGAGTCCAAACAAATGATAAAAACATCACAATAATAATCTACAAGTAATCCACACCACTCCAGTCGAGTCCACATGACTCCAATTAACATACTGTGAAGCAAAATGTTGCATGTTTGTAATAAATCCATCAATAAGACATTTTGAACTTCAAACTGTTGTTTCCGGCCAAAATGAGATTCCTCTAATCCATGATATTGCTTTCTCCAGTCAAAAAGCAGTCTCTAAATCAGGAGAGAAATATGCACACATCACCATTTACAAATGAAAACAGTCCAAAACAGCTCCAAACAAAAAAACTGGTGGATGTTGATGTGAGAGGACAACAGGGGATGGACTTTTTCACAGAAGAAAGAGTTATTACGGATAATGGACTCATATTTTGGTGACGGTATAAAGTTAAAATATCTGGATGGATTTGTTTCTTAGAAACCAGCTTATCACTTCACAAGACATTAACTGATGGACTGTAGTCGTGTGGATTTCTTGTGGATTATTGTGATGTTTTTTATCAGCTGTTTGACTCTCATTTTGACGGCACCCAGTCACTGCAGAGGATCCATTGGTGAGCAAGTGATACAATCCTAAATTTCTCCAAATCTGTTCCAATGAAGAAACAAACTACATCATGAATGGCCTGAAGGCGAGAAAACTTTCATTTCTGGGTGAACAATGGCACTAAAAATGTCTTGTGGCGTAACCAGCAAGTAAAAATTCAAAACATATTTTCCTTACACCCTGAATACACATTAGTGTATGTTTTTAAGTGTATTTTTCAGTGTAAAAATATATTTTATAATTGAAGAGACACGTTGACTTTAAATTGGCAGACATTGGCAGACGGGGTTTATAAATATTGAAAATATACATACCTGAATGCTGGTCATGCCTGTATCCATGCCCTCCAAAACACGTCCCTCTCTCAGCTTAGCGATTCGTGGATTCTCTGCCTTCAGGAAGTCCCAGACTAACTCCGTAATATCCACCTGCCAATCGCTGCCCAGCATGTGGGCCACCTCACCTCTTGTCTCTGAGGATTCAGCCACAAAGTGTGTGAGCACACGCACCATGGCCCTCTGGTACTGCAGAGTACACGTCTTTCCTCTCCGCTCTTCATCATCGTCATCTTCACTGTCCCGCGTTGACCTGGGAATGGAAAGGAGTTTGAATCTGCACCAAGATTACAATTCATTATTTTTTTGTAAACTTCAGCGTATTTACTGTATTACCCAATCATGTTTTGTCAACCTCTTCAAAGGTTTCATGAAATATTTTTTTTATGAAACATTTCACAAAACAACCTTTTTTTAACAGAAATATCTGTTGACACACCTAAATTAAGCTTCATTAGGCTGATGCATCCAATCATGGGAAGCTAATTAAGCATATCAGTTTTATTAAATGCTCTACGACTGGAAATACAACGAAGCTTTTGCTTTCATTCAGGACTGTTCATGTGTTTGATGTTAGAGGCCACTGGATTAAGGTAAAGAGATTCACAAAGAACATATTCATATTTGAAGACAGAGCTTAATGTGCTTTTGTAATCAAAGATCAGTTCAAGTATTCCAGTCAAAATCGCTTCATGAATGTTTGTTTATACCCATGTGCATTGTCTATGGGTGAAAAATTTAAGTAAAGATCATAGTCCTCTAGATGTTTTTTTGCGTGGTACAGCAAAAACATAAAATCACTGGAAGAAAACCTCTCTGTTGTGTTTAAACGAAATAGATTGCATTAAATTGATTTCTGGCTATCTGTGAGGAAGGTGAGTGTGTGTAGGTCCGCTGGATCAGATTACAGTGTGTGTAGGTATGTTAATGTGGCAGATTTACTTTCTCAGCACTGTAATTGAACCCATTTCATAATGCAATCACATACAACAATTACAGCATGAAAAAAAAATCCTCCACTCACATGCAGAACAATTGTTTTGTTCCACCTCATTAATTATTTCTCTCTCTTACCACACACACACACACACCTAAGAAATACTTTCTTCAGACCCTTACTGCTCGTGACTGCAAAAAAGTTTACATTAAAATGAACTAACACAAATTACCAATAGTACACTCTAAAAAATGCTGGGTTGAATACAACCCAGTGCTGGGTAAAATAGGGTCAAACCCAGCAATTGGGCTGTTTTGACCCAGCGGTTGGGTTAAATGTTTAATGTTTAACCCAACCTTGGGTAGTAACCCAACCGCTGGGTCAAAACAGCCCAATTGCTGGGTTTGACCCTATTTTACCCAGCACTGGGTTATATTTAACCCAGCATTTTTTAGAGTGTATATTTATAAATAAATTAACCTAGATTCATAAATGCCTTAACCAATTAACTAATGTTAATGAACCCTGTTATACAGTTTTTTTTCAACTGCTTACACACAAAATCTTTACTTGTCACACAATCTCTAAAACCTGATACTCAAACACCAGAACCACACACCAAATCTGCAAAACCATACACTAATTCTCGGCCCTTGACTCAGTTTTTTATTTATTTCATAAAACACTTTTTGCAAAACACACAACACACAAATCTCTATGTAACACGCAACAATCTAACAGGAATTAATAGTATGGCAAAGGTGTTTGCAAATGTTTGCTTTTGAGATGTGTTAGTGCTTCATTTTGCAAGAGATGTGAGGCATTTTGCATTTTGTGTGTGCATTTCTTGGATTTGTGTGTAAAGTTTTGAAAAAAAGAGGTAAAGTTTTGAAAATGTGTGTAAGCAGTTGAAAAAAAAACGTAATTAAAAAGTATGTTTGTGCTATTCTTATATATTATATTTATTTTATCTAATAAACAGCACTTGTTTTGATATTTTGTTATGCTTGTAAATGTGTGATTTTCAGCAAAAAATTTGTTTTTGTTAATTTTTGTATTAGATTTTATAAAAATATTTTCTATACATATACTATTTTTATATTTTCTGTTTTAGTAATTGTGTTGTGTTTTGCCATTTTATTATTTTTTTAACATGTCTATATAATTTTTTATTAAGATTTATTTTTTAGTTCATTTAGTTTTCATTTTTGTACAGCTTAAACTGAACAAAAAATAGAAACTAACTCAAATGTTTGTTTATTTTTTTCGTTCATTATTTTTAATGTTCATTTTATTTCAAGTAATGGCATCTTTTATGGGATAAGTTTTAGTTAACAATAATAACCCTGAAATGCTGAACAATTATGAATTTGACTGCACTTTAAGGCAGTGACATTCAAAAACCGCTATAATTATGACTTACAGGTCCAAATACCGTTTGGGAACATTTTATATATATATATATATTTTTTTTTTTCCCCCCCTCAAACTCCAGGTAGTCAAGATTTATTGCCTAGTTAAGAACAATAACGTTTGCAAAATGATCCAAACACTGCTCTGCTTTTTCACCCTTTGTAAGAGAAAATAAGTGCAACCTTGTTACGACATGAAAATCCTTCCATGGACTTTCCACCGTAAAAAAAGGCTTCATGGGAAGGGAAGATATATTAACAAGTGGCATTTTGTGATTTAGCCATCAGTTGTTCTGGGTGAGATCACAGTGTCAGAGCTCAGTTATTACCTACACAGGAGGTCTGAAGACGATTTAATAAACAATATTTTCCACAGAGAAGACAGACGTCCCTTAAGGGGGCAATCAGCTCCACATATCTCTCTCACACAGCGTCATTCCTTGATATAAACAGGAATAGTCATCCCCAGCGGTCAGACTTTATCATGCCTGCCTGGTGTTGAGAGAACACTGTTAACACCAGGCCGTAAAGTGCTGGCCAGCCTGGCACTCTACACACTACAGGCTTGGCACGAGCACAAAAACGCTCTCTCGGGTCAGTTTCTCTCTCTCTCTCGCACTACACGGACCAACTGGCAGCGCATTTGGCAGAGGACGAAGAGCCTTGCGATTCTCTCTCTCATACACACATATAGCGGTAAACAAATGGATCATCAGTGCCCACTAGCACCAAACCGTAATGCGGTTACATCAGCAAGGTCATCCCTGTTATGCCACGATAAATATAAATGAGAATGTGTGGAGAGGGAAATCAGTGGTGAATGCAAAACACACACGTTCCTCTGCCACTTTTTCAGACAATGAGCCAAAATGGACACTTTCTCCTCTCTTGCATGCAAAATGTCTCTGGGTCAAGTAAAACAAACATAAGGTGAATTTGCCGTTTTTAACATGCTCGTTCATCCTTGCTAAACATGTTCACATTGTGATAATCACAGGAGAGATGAATGTACTTTGGCATGCGCTGTGTAAACCGGACTGCAGCTGTGAGAGCCAACTCTAGCTCTTGCTAATGAGCGTCTGGGCCGCCGAACACATGTTCATAAACTGCTGACAGAGGCCCTTGACTTTCTGTAGCGCTAGGTGAGCGTGGCTAGTGGAGGCAGGCTAATTAGTCGTGATGTGCTGACGATGAAGTCCTTCATTTAACAGCATGCGTTTTAGAGGGTACATGTGGAGATGAAGTCATTTGGGTAAGATTCAACAAATTTTGTGTTCTGATACCTCAAAACAACCTTGCTAACAAGAACACAATTAACAGGAGCCCAAAAAACGAGTGGAGGCTCTAAACCAGACTTAGTCAGCTGTTAAAAAAAACCCTGCATGAAGTCATGCAAGAACCTCTTCACCTGCAGAATCCTAAACTGCCTGGAATGAAAGCTATTTCGCAAAAATGCATATTCTATCATCATTTACTCACCCTCATGTTGCGCCAAACCTGTATGAATTTCTTTCTGCTGTTGAACACGAAGATATTTTAAAGAATGTTTATAACAGCCATTGACTTACATAGAACTTTAAAAAATATATATTTTCATCCAATCCTGCTGAAGAAAAAATCAATAGAAACCATCACAGAAATGATATTGGTTTCCACTACTAATACCATTACAACCATTACAAATGATCGACTTTTAATCATTAAAGCCATTGAAAAATGTTTTTCTGTAGTGTGTTTTGGGACATATTGCATTAGGGTTAAGTGGTTTTAACAAGCCACCAATAGAAGGTGACCAATTACCAGTAGAAACCCACAGGCTCCATCACATTTTCCATTAAAACCAATACAAGTCCCAATATAATCAGTAAAACCATTACAAATTTTGTGATGGTGTCTATTGTTTATTTTTTCATCAGGGAAATAATGTCTTTTAAATTATATATTACATTATCAGAACAAGATATACAAAAACATGTTATGTTTTGGATCAGACATTTCCCGTCAGTCTCCTACTGTCCTATGCAATAAAGACAAAAAAGAAAAAGAAAAAAGATGATTGACAAAATATATAATTTTTAATGGCTTCCATTTATTCATTTTCTTTTGCCTTCACATGAAATCACACATGAACCTAGTTGCATTAATTCCTCTTGAATGGTTAAAATTTACCCACAAATATGTGCCAAACAATGGTAAATGTGGTTGCACCACAAGGCAGTGACATTCAAAAACTGTTTAATTGGGAATTTAATGGGACATTTTACAATTTAAACTCTTTCTCAAACTCCAGGTAGTTGACATTCATTGGCTGGGCCATTAAACATTGAGTGAAATGTTCGCAACCCTGTTACCTATGTCAGCATGGCCCAATTACTATTCATAAGAAAAACCTGTCATTCCATTTACATTGTGGGCCCCCATCTTCAAAAACTGTGCACATTTAATGACCCATTTTAAACTATTGTTTTTAAATCTCAGTTTGACTGAACTAGAGACACCAAGCAGTGTGTGGGTGCTGCTGAAGTAACTAGTGTGATGAAAACTATGAGTGAGTGGGTTCTTAAGGTGTCACCACTGCAGTGTGCATTATTGCCACAAGACTGCGACATTAGGATGGACTTTGGGGCTCTGTCACTGAATCAGAATATGATTGCATCAGGTGGCCATCTTGTTAGTGCTCTCCGAGATTGAGGCTGTCAGGAGGACGGCAATCGAGCCCCTCATTAGAGTCCACTCGATCCACACTGACAGACAACCTCCCACTACCGGAGACACAGATCAATGAAGATCCTGCTGGTGTAGGGCTTGCTCACTTGTCTCATTTAAGTCCAACTTAACTAGTGTTGTCCAAAAATCATCATTATACACTGATCACATGCATCTTAATTTCAACAGAGATTTCAA